ATGAAAGAAAATTCAGATAAAGCCATAGAGTTCTGCTTAAAGCTTCACTTTGGGTTGAAGGCACATGTATGATACCTGAGAAAAATGAATGATTGCTTATTTTACATCCAAACTCAGGTTTCTTCTTCATTAGGCTGAACTGAAATCTTGGTGATGGCTTGGGCAGACTTTTTCTTTAAACCAAGTATAATCTAAGACATCAGATTAAGCACTGTACCACTGTGATAATAAAGTTTCTAATAAATCATTTACTGCTTTAAAAAGTATAGAAAGATTTGAGTAAATTTAGCTCCCAGCAAGCTACTAGATTTATTTTTGTAAAGCTTTATGTCAGTTAATAGTTAAATGGTTATTAATCATGGCCTATAATCTTTTAATGTAAAACTCATACATTTACAATGAAAACAAGGAAGTTTAAAACTTTACATGTAATACGTCATTTTGGGAAATGTTTGATTTTCCATTGCACTTGCCTATGAAGCATTTCTTCAGGTAAATCCTGTAAGTAATTCTAACATTGTTGTTTGATTTCCAGCTTTTGGAACAGGTGTACAATGCCCCCTCTATTCACGGTTACAGTCAGGGTTGTTTTCCCAGCCCAAGATAAAAGCTTTCACTGTTAAAAGTCAGAAGAAACAAATAGGAAATATATATTTTTTAACTGTGTAAACGTGACTTACCGAATTATGGACAGAGAATGGACTAAAGGCATTTAATATTTGTAATTCATTCTAACTGTAGAAGTGGCCCTAAAGCATGCTGCATAATTAATAATTTATATTTTCATTGTTGTAAATGTTCATATGAATGATCTTGCATTGGATTCTATCAAATTACTCACCATTTCGTAGCAAAGTATTGCTTTTCTGTTTTTTTTTCTCTAACTTCCCTAAAATCATCTCATTTAAAAGGGATAGAAAATGTAATTACAAGAGAATCAGTGTCTTTGTTCATTATCGCCACACGTCAGTTATTTATCGATCCTAGATAGAATTCACATGCTGACTGTATGGGTACTGGCAGTTGAGAAGAAAGTGATAGGTTATTATTTTGCCTTTAGTCAAAATAATGTCACTGCAGTCTGGATAAATTATAGTAAGTTCACATAGTTGAAATAAAATTTCTAAAAAGATTAAGTATATTTAAATGTTATTAAAGTGCTGAGTTAACAGGGCTTGAATTTCATGCCTAAGTTAATATACACATTTGGATGATTGTTTTCCTTGCTAACATATTAATGCTATTTTCATTTTTTTCCAGACATACTGTAATTTAAAATTAGTGTGAGCATTTGTTGTAAATTCACAGAAAACAATAATGTTAAAAATCTCAGGAATTAAATGCTAACCATAACACTGTCAGTTCTAATTAAATTTTGTAAAAGATGGCAAGTTTGTTACTGGAGTGGGGCCACCCCTTTCCTCAGTTCTAATAGAATACAATATGTATAATAAAACAATAAATGTAATTTCAAAAATGTACTTCCCCTGGATGTTTATGTTCAAAATTAAATATCTTAATAGCTATAATTTTTTAAAATACATTTTTATTGATTTCAGAGAGGAAGGGACGAGAGAGATAGAAACATCAATGATGATAGAGAATCATTGATCAGCTGCCTCATGCATGCCCCACCCTGCAGCCAGGGCACGTGCCCTGATCGGGAATTGACCCTCGACCACTGAGTCATGCCAGCCAGGCCAAAATTAAAAATATTTTTTTCCCCTCAAAATTAAATACCTTAAAACAATATATAACATTAACCTTTTTAGAGTCCCTTTAATCTAATAAAGTATATGGACTCTATCTTTAAAAAAATACTTGCATGCACATAGGCAAGGAATTTGAAGTATGATTATTGTTGGCTCCTCTCCGTGCATCCCAAATGAAGACTTTTTTTTTCTTTCCTTTGTACCTTCTTGATCTTTCTGTTGCTTGCTATTTTCATATAAAAAGAACCTACATGATTAATTTAAAATCCTAATCCTGGGAAGGGATCATTAGTTTGCAGTGTTTAATGTTAGAAATAACTGAGATGCCATTTGCAAACATGAATCAAACTAAAACAACAATTGAGTGCCTTTTATTTTATTTTAATCCTCACCTGAGGATATGTTTTCATTGATTTTTAAAGGAGAGAGGAAGGGGGAGAGAGAAAAAAACAAACATTGATGTGAGAGAGAAACATCAATTGGTTGCCTCCTGTACTCCCCCGACCAGGAATCAAAGACTGGGGATCGAACCCGCAACCTTTTGGTGTACGGGACTATGCTCCAACCGTCTGAGCACCCAGCCAGAGCAATGAGTGCCTTTTGAATATTATGCTGGAGATGAGACACGAGCCTTTTAAATAACAGCAGAAATTGTCCTCGGTGAAGTCTGATTGATGTTCCTTTTCTGAGGTATTACATTTTTAAGATTGTGAGAAAGATGAGATCATACCATCACATCATCATGTTTCTCTTTTATGCTGGGTTGGCTAAGTGTTAAAAGGTAGACTTTAACCAGTTTTAATAATTTTAGTTCTTTTCTCAGCTAAAGTTGAGTAAGTTTTAGACTGACAGTATTCCATTTCTTAAGAAAGTTTTAATGCTACAGTAAAAACAACTCAAAGGTTTTTAGATGTTAGGAACAGTTTAACAGGTTGCCAAAGATTTCAGTTAAAAACAAAATCCAGAATAAGTGGGAAATTTGTAGCGATTAGGTGAAGTCATAGGACTGTGAACTGAGAGATGGTGATGGCAAAGTTGGAGTTGTTCATATGGTAAGTTCTTACATGTAGTGTAATAAGTCTATATGGACAAGTTTATAAATTTTTTCTTCTATTTTAATAGTTTGGCTCTTCACTACCTGGTTTACTTGATAGCTCCAGTTCCCATTAGTGGAGACATGACATACTCAGGAGAGTAGATGAAATTTATTTTTCAATCAGTATCCATCTGATGTCTTAATTCTGGGATCATCTTCAAGCATTATACATTCTAGAACACATATGTAAGATCTGTGTGTAGTGAAACATTCTATAGCAGTGATGGCGAACCTTTTGAGCTCGGCGTGTCAGCATTTTAAAAAACCCTAACTTAACTCTGGTGCCGTGTCACATATAGAAGTTTTTTGATATTTGCAACCATAGTAAAACAAAGATTTATATTTTTGATATTTATTTTATATATTTAAGTGCCATTTAACAAAGAAAAATCAACCAAAAAGAGTTTGCGTGTCACTTCTGACACGTGTGTCACAGGTTCGCCATCACTGTTCTATAGCAATGCTCTCATCCTTAAAATGAGGGGAAAACATTAATGAATCAGATTTTAAAAACTCAATTTATGTAAGTGAAACCAGAAACAGTTCACCTATTACTCTCCCTTCCCACTGTAACCATCAATCTGTATCTATGAGCTTTCATTTTTACCTATTTTTTTGATTCCACATGAGAGATTATACAGTATTTGTTTTTCTCTGATTTATTTCACCTAGCATAATGCCTTCGAGATCCATGTTGTTGGAAATGGCAAGACTTCATATTTTAATTTTTTAATGGCTGGAGACTATTCTCGTAGAGGTATACCAGTTTGTCAATCCGTTTATCCATCGATGGACATTTAGGTTGTTTCCATATCTTGGCTATTGTAAATAATGCCTCAGTGAACATGGGGGTGTAGATGTTTTCTAGTATTTTTTTTTTTTTCAGATGAACACCCAGGAGTGGAATTGCTGGATTTTTTGGTAGTTCCTTTTTTTTTTTTTTTTTGAGGCACTTCCATACGGTTTTCCATAGTGGCTACACCAATTTACATTCCCTCCGATAACACTTGTCTCCACATTCTCACCAGTGCTTTTTTTTTTCTTCTGGATGATAGCTATTCTAACAGTTGTGAAATATGGTTTTGATTTGCATTTCCCTGATGATTAATAATGTAGAGCATCTTTTCATGTATCTGTGGCCCATTTTTAACCAGAGTGTTCTGCTGAGTTGTATGAATTCTTTATATGTTTTGGGTATTAGCGCCTTAATCAGGTAAGATTTGCAAATATTTTCTCCCATTCGGTAGGTTGTCTTTTCATTTTGTTGATTTTCTTTGCTGTGCAAAATCTGTAGTCAGTCTCTCTCGTTTATTTTTGCTTTTGGTGTCAGATTTTAAAAAATCACCATCAAGACCTATGTCAAGGAGCTTACTCTGTTTTTCTTCTAGGAGTTTTATGATTTCAGATTTTATATTGTCTTGATTTTGACTTAATTTTTGTGTGTGGTGTACAATAGTGGTCCAGTTTTCCCAAGATCGTTTATTGAAGAAACTGTCCTATCTCAATTGTGTATTCTGAATACTAATGTTTTGTGGGTCATGCTTGCTGATAAGCTCAGTTAATTTTTTGTTTTCATTCTCTCCGGTGTTTTTGTGATTAGTCTTACTGTACTGAATTTCAGTCTTCATGCTTTTCTTAGGATTTGCATGCTTTGTGGCTTTGTTAAGCCATTCTTTCTTTAAACAAAAATTTTTTTTAAAGCTTGATTTTAGTTTCCAGCATTGTTCATGACTTGAGATTCTTCCCCTCCCACTCGAACAGTTCTAAGTAAGAAAAAGAAGTTCAGAGGACTGTGGCTCTTGCAGCCTGTTAGAGAACTTCTGACCTGACATCATTATGATATGTATGTTGTAAGGCATTAGTGTGTAATTTCATACTGACTTGGACCAGCTCACTATGTCTCTGATGGTACACATTATAGAAGTGGATTCCTTAGATGGATCCTATATAACATTAACTTAATTTGGGGTTGCAAAAATTGTTTTATTAACCCATCATTTTAAAAGCAACACCTGTTAAAAACTTGGCATTGAGATCCCATTACTCAGGTTGAATATAGGTATTTTTTGATAGTCATCCTCTCTGCTGTGATTTCATTCTGCCTTAGTTTTTGCAAATAAAACTGTTAAAGCTATAAAACCAACTTTAGTTTTCTTCCAGGATGTTCTAGAAAATAACCACAAAAAGCAAAAGAAACAGAATGATTGATTTTATTTGCTAGCATTTATTGCTAGGTTAATTTATTACAAAGACAATAACATTCTGTTGAACTTGGTTATAATTAAACACACTGTACCAATTCAAGATCATTATACTTATTTTATGGGTAGGAGGGAATGGTGGAGTGGGCTGGGATGCCAGAGTGGAAATAGGAACTTTAAACCAACTGCTCTTCAAGTGAGTTTTAAAATTAATTGGCCCCTTCCTTGAGGAGGGTCTGGCTCAGAAGAAACAGGACCTGGCAGAGCTGTTCATGGTGATCCACCACTAAAAACAGTAACATCTAAAGGATCGTAAACTTCTGAATGCTGGTTCATTAAGGATCCACTGTAAAACTGAGTATCTTTTGTGGTACTCATCTGCTAGTTTTTATTGCATGATGCCTGGAACAATGATAAAAACTAGACCTGCATTGCTGCTAGTGCTCGAGCCTCAGAGCAGGGCTCGGCACCTAACTGCACAGATTAATGCTTATTAGGTCCAATTATGAGACAAGCTTGATTATAAATACAATTTTCAGAATGACAGGCACTTAAAGCTTATTAAGTAAAATACAAAAATAGAGTATATTAATAGGAAATATTTAGTGTTTAATTATAAATCTAGGCTTTTGCCATTTTTAAAAAAGGATACTGGAAACTGAAAAGATGACATTCAAATAAAGTGAACGATGCATTTTCTCATAATTTTCGATCTGAGCGCTGAATAATAATCTAAGAAAAGGACTTACCACAAAGCACCTAAAATAACATTTGTAGATGGGTAGGACTGTTGTCAACCATTTCTTACTGTTTCCCTCCCAAGTCTCAGTACCAAGGCATCGAGAGTCCATTCCACAAGCGATTGTCAGCTTTCTGAAATCAGTTCGTGTGCCTGCGTATCAGAGAAGTTGAAAACCCTTAAGGAGGTAGCTCTCCTTGGGTGCTCTTCCCCCAAAAGCGCAAGAGTTATGCTTCAGATTCTGCGCCTGTATTTTCGCGTGGACTTCCATCATTGTCCTCTGGTTGATCGTTTAATAGTACATATTTTCCATCATTGGTTAGTGGTACGGACAGCATTAATTGAGCCAATGCTTCTGGATCCTGAAGTTATGGGAGTTTAAGAAGGAGAAAAGAAAACACTTAAAATGCACTTAACACCCCTCTGGCTTGGCTTCATGTTCTGTAGTCTAGCTTTATTCCTTCTTGCCTATGTGTGTGCCTTCAGTGGGTTTCCTTGCTTCTCTGAAAAAAAACTCAATTGCATTATTCCTAGAATCTAGTTGGCCTTGGTTTTCCTCTCAGCCAAAAACATCACTACATAGCCAAGTCATAATAATCTTCCCAGAAAGAGTCCAAAGAGGACTTTCCTCACAACATATCTTTGTCTTTTGTCTCTAAACTGTTTTCTCTCTTTTAATCTATACTAAGAGTTTGCAAACTATGGCCATCTGGCTTGTTTTTGTAAACATTTTTTTGGAACACAGTCATGCCCATTCATTCCATACTATCTCTGGCAGCATTTGTGTTAAACAGCAGAGCTGAGGTCATTGAGACAGATAGTAAGCCCAAAAGGTTTACTATCTGGCCCTTTACAAAAAAGGTCTGCCAACATCCGGTCTGGACCATAAAATACTAACTTGCAGTGCTTGTCATTTCATGTACATCAGTCTCAGTCCTTGGTCCTTCTGCCCTCCCTGTAGACTAGAACCATAGTAATACGGTATTCACGAGCTACGTTAGTGTGTAAGTTTAAATAAAATTTACAAATCCAGTTCCTCAGTCACACTAGCCACATTTGAGCTGTATATTTTTCATTACTGCAGAAAGTTCTCCTGGACAGTAACTCATAGAAGCCCTCCGGTGCTGGAACTGATCTGTCTTGCTCACTGCTCTAATTCCAGGGTTTTTCTTCTTATAAATGGGGCTCTTAAAAACTTGCTGGGTGAATGAGACTGTAAGCTTCTGAAAGACGGGGAGGTCTGAATCTTCATTTCTAGTCAGTCTCTGGATGATGTGTGTCAGTGCTGCCGGCCTGGGACGACTAAGGAACAAGGCTTAAGAGCACATGATAGATGCTGAAGCTTGTGTCATCCTACTCTGAAAGACAGGAAATCTAGGCAACAGCAGCAAGCAACAAATAAGTAAAGCAAGAGCTACAGAAGTGATGGTTTTAAGAACTCCACACGTGTTGCCAATGAATGTGGAAGTGATTAAGAATGTGGTTAGAATGCATAAAAAGGAAATCCCAAACTTGACCACACTGCCAAGTGAGCATCATTTCCCGTTTGGAGAGACACCCTGACATGTATAGGTAGGTAGGTATCTCTGAGTAGCTGCTAAACAAGCACTAAAGTGGACCTTACCTTCTGAACCTCATTGATTTCTTTTCCCAAATTAATAGCATAACATATCTGCAAAACACAAGAAAAGTGGTGTTTGGCAAAGGTAGAAAAGGATAAAGAATTTTAGGGGGGTGGGGGGGGATGTGATTATAGAAGTACAATGAGGTCACTGTCTACTCATGTCAACATGAGTGTCTACTGTCCCTGGTCTCCTATTGCCAATCTGTGCGTACAGAAAATACCCAGCCAGTGGAACTTGAAATTACTCCAGCGTTTGAAATTCTTAACAGGATGCTGTTCCCTTTTTCTTTTGGCCACATTAGCCACTGCATGCTCACACATATAGTGGCAAACAGGTACCTGCTAAAAGGACTGGTTAAATTTGATTAATTCTAAGTAGCGAATGCAGTCACAAAGTTTTTCTACTAAACAAGAGAACAGTTTAGATGTACTTTCTTGATGTCTGCTCCCTTGGTTTGCTCTCTGAGACTAGATTGTAACTTCTGCTTTGAGGGGAACTGCTTTTAACAATTACTGGTAGGTCTACTAAACAATTATTACTCAGCATTAAAGTTCTGTATTCAGTCTATTTTGGTTAATACGTATTTACCCCAGGGAAATTTTACTTCCAGGCAGTTTTCAGTGGGGCCTTCCTAGGAGGTATTATTATCTAAACTCAATGGGGACTTGCAGAATAATCAACTAACTATCCAGGCAGTGGTGTAAAAAACGCCCTTTAAATATCTTCCTTTTATACTTAGATCTTATGGAACCTTAAGATGAAAAAAATAAAACCTTTTCGCCTTCTGAGTTGCTTTCAAAAACATATGTGCTCAGAGACTCTCCGCCTGTGGATTCAGGCAAGCGGACCACAAAGCCAACCAGTCTCTTGTTTTCTTGATGAGCAGCGAACTGGGTGACACTGGTGAGCTCAAACTGGAAAAAGAAAATAGACTGAATATCACGCAACAAACTGGAACTAAACAACAGACAAAGTGATCCTCCATGGAAAAAGTCATTAAAAAAGTGCACTATTAGTGGCAGTCATTTAACTTGTGTTTAAGGTGGTTACAAAGATGAATAGAAGTAATCACTAAAATTGGCAAGTGTGAGGACACTTACATTGGCTCTGGATACTTGAGTCTGAGGATCTATTAACCTGAAATGGTAACAGATACATTATGTCACAAATGTTGGATAAACTTAGAAGAGTTTGTGGGGCTGTCTCTACTTTTTTAATAGTGTTTTTTGATGCAGTATAGTTTCTCAGTGTTTTTATATATATTTGCTCTGATTTTTTGTGTGGAAATTATAAGAACAATGAACCAATGCCTATAAAAGATCCAGTACATACTTGGAGAAAAGCTGTCAATAAATATAAGTTTTATTCTTAAGAAGCCAATTCTTACAAGGTTTATAACAAAGGAAAAGGACTGATTTTTGCCAACACCTAGTTCACTTTTTGAAGCTAACATTTATTGAGCAGTTTCTGTGTGCCAGTTGCAGTTGTAAATGTTTCATATCTATTCCTCATGACAACACTACGAGGTGTAGATACAGCTGAAGAAACCAAGGCACAGGGATTAAATAACCTGCCCAAGGTCATACAACTAGTAAATGCCAAAGCCAGAAATAAGCCTAGACATTCTGGCTCTAATGCAATGCTGCTGTCCTATAGAAATAGAATGTAAACCTCATACATATATTTTTCTAGCACCCATTTACATTATTTAATCTAAAATATTAAATTAATGAGATGTTTTGTATTCTTTCTCGGGGTCAGGACGAGATCTTAGAGATTTGCTATATCCTGTATTTACACTGACAACACATCTCAGTTCAGACTGGCTGCCTGTAGCTACAGACTGGACAGCGCAGCTCCTGAAGCCTCTGTTGTTAACCATGTCCTGACCATGGTTCATAAAGACCTTATTGCCTGAGCCCCCAAACCAGGTAGTTTAATTTCTTTATTTTCAGTCCAACAAATACTGAGCAGATTTTCTTGTGGTGGTCTAGTTATCTCAGGCAGTTTTATGTCCTATATTCATTGTTGTTATTTACAAATAGTATTCTCAGAAATGACAAAAACAAACAACCCACCTTCCATTTTCAAGTTCTGAGATGTAGAGAGTAACCCTAGAATGATGGCCATTTATAAACAACAGGATTCACCACCACTGAATTCCTAGATTATCATTAAGGGAGCATCTTCTACCCAGTACATCTTACAGAATCGAAATGGACACTTAATCCAACCAAGTGCTCTAGTTATGAGCTGCAGGTGGGGGAACGTGCCTTCAGAGGGGACTGAGGAAGCTATAAGAAAGTTAGAGTGAAACCGCATGTACCTCAGCATCTGACTGGTGACCATCAGATGGGATTCTGTCATACGGAAGATGTTATGAATAGCCCGTGCCGCCAACACTTGTCTCATCGCCTCATAAATCACTTCGGTAGTGTCGTCTGTTTTAACTGCCATCGATCCCAAAAACTGAACTATAAACATCTGTTGCAAAAGAGAATCTGCAAGAGAGCATTTTCTGCTCAGGATCACACCCATGTGCTGCCTGCTGACCTGCACCCAGCACCAGGGCTGCTGGTCTGAGCACAGCTGCCAGACCTCAGGACTGGTCTGCTTTCTATGGAGGGCTTTCCACCCACATCTCTGAATACTCTGCTTTTACAAGCCCCACGCACAGTGCCGAAGCTCTGAATCTCCTTCCTGTTGTCTACGCTTTGTCTGTTTGGAACTACTTCCTTATACTAGGAAAGCCCTGCTTTTTCTCCATCTATAAAGTAAGACCATGGTACCAGGTAAACAGCCTCCTGCACCAAACCTAGGTGAGTACACAAAGGTGGCAGTATATGCACTATATCTTTTCTCTGAAAAAAGGCTTTTTCCACTGGACAACAGAAATTCTTTCCTTTGGCCTATGGATTAAGTCCTCTTATAAAAGAAAAGTTACTTGAAGAAAATAAGACCTGACGTTGGGTCTTACTCATTTATGATTGAAGGGCAGTGATATATTCCACAAACGAATGGAGATCGCAAACTAAGAGTGCTTATTTGAGTCCCTGAACTTCCAGTGCTGGCTTCCTGATGACAGTATATCACCTGACAAAACTCAATGACGGCAAGTAACTGGCAGACCATGAAGACAGTTTAAAAGTTCTTTTTTTCTGTCAGAATAATTCATTTACCTACCACTTTAAACTAAGTCTTTTTGCCTAGTTGCCCTCCCATTAGTATCCTAGCCCCTAAAAATAACCTAGGAAAATATAACTGAAATGGTTACTCTCATATGAAGCGTTTTTACAAGTTTGAAAATTTTTGTTCACAAACTGGACTGCATTAAAAGTTAGCTAGACATAAGTGGAGAAGAGGTTTGAGGCAACATTTTTTTTGCCTAAAGGGTTAAGAAGTGCCAATTCTCAAGTCCTCCTTTTACATGTAAGTAAGTGGCACTTCATTCTGATGGTGTTCTCAGGCTCCAGTCCTGCCGCTGGGTTTCAATGAGGTCTTTCCAGCTCTTCTAGCTACTCAGTTGCCTTGGCTGGGAACTCAAGTCCTCTCTGTGGAGCAGGAGGTTATGGTCAGCTCAACTGAGTATGTTCTGATGTACATCGGGATGTAAACCAAACAAGATATGAATTTAAACCAATAACATTCATCTGATCTTAAAATTCAGGAAGGAATGATTTGTGGTTTTGGTTTTCTGAAATGAAATAGCACACGTGTGACTCACCCAGGCTGCATTTTTAGGCGATCGTTTTATCTTCTGAATTTGTTTTTGTAATAATGTGACACCAAATTTAGTTTTGGCAACTTTCACTGCAGGAGTGTGAAAGGTATGAATGTGGCTAGTGGTGCAACAGCTTCCCGTCAGTTTTTACCCAAGTCCTAATGAGTTCTCAGAGAACAATGAACATATTTCAAGTCTCAGCTCTCTAGAACATGATGTCACATCTTGTTTCAGTGGCCCTGGCCACTGTGCAGAGGAGAGAGTAACACACCCAACACCACGTACCTTCTGCCTCTGGGAATGCGTCATCCTCAGTCTCACCAAAAGGGTTCATACGCCTGGGGGGAGCCAGAGTCAGAGTCACTTCAGGTCAGTGAGAGGGCACTGAGCACTAAGCTCTAAAGCAGAACGGCAACAGCCTCTGGAGGGGCCAAATTTATGTTCATTTCTCCCAGAGGCCTCCCGCAGCACATACCTGCTCCCTCTGTTCTGATCAAGGAATTCTGTCGCAGGAAGTACGATATCGAACTGAATGGGTGTTCCAGGCGCAATTAGTTCCTCAGCTTCGGGTACACTGACTGTTGCTTTGGGAACAGTGTTGTCATTTTTCACCTCTGAATTTTCTAGGTTCTGGCTGGAGTATAGGAGAGAGGAGGGGAAAAACAAATCCCTTTTAATCTTACGCCTTTACAATCCAGTGAATACTGTTGAATGCTGATGGAGACTTCCGTCAGGCCTTCACACCATTCTACAAGTATTCTCTGGAAAACTTCATTCCTTGGCTGAAATCCTTCAGATCTCGCCACTACCTACAGGTGGCTCTGTTGCAGAGCATTCTGCACTGCTATCCTGCTCATCGCATTACAACTGGTTTCCTGTTGGTATCTGTCTCTCTGGGAGACAGTTTTTTGAGGGCAGGGGTTATAGCTAAATAATATTTATTACTTGATACCTAGTAGTAGTCAGAAATGTTAACGGAATGAATAATATTTCTTGGCCTAGCATTCAACCACAACCTGTCTCTCATTTCTCCTGAGAGCCTCTTTCTCCACTCCCTTAATGCGTGCCCCCCTCCCCGCCATAGTTACAGCAAGCACACCATATGCTCTTCCTCTCTGTCTCCATCCCTATTACGCTGCTCACCCAACCCTCTTGTACTTCAAACACCAGCTCAAATTCCTAGTCATTCATTAGACCTTTCAAGCCAGGCTGACGCTCCCTCTGCTCTCCTGTGGTTCTCAGTAATTCACAGGGACAGTCTTGTGCCTCCTGAGCTACCCTGGTTCTGACTATGCCACCCCTGTTCTCAAAGCCTTCAGCTCTGCTCCACTGTGTGTTCTGGTTCCTGAACTTTGCTGATGCTGCTAGAACATGCGGGGGGACCTCGCGACCAGCAGGGCCCTCGTGCGAGTCCTGTGTGCTCGGGCTGCAGCAGCGAGGTCCAGGGGAAGGCTGGACGACTGCAGGCAGGTCTGAATCCCGGCTGCCCTCACCTGTGCTGTGCACACGGGAACCTTCCTGACCAGTTACTGCTTCTGCAGGACACCACCCGGGGCTTGTGAGGATGAAATAACTTCTGTCAAGTTCCTAATTCGGCTCCACAAAAGCTAGCTTTCCTTTGTCCGTTAGTTACCTGGGGCAGGAGCTTTCTTGCTTTTTTCTAAAACTTGTAATGGGAGTCACTGCTTGGAGAGCCGTCTCATTCAACTTGATGGCGACTGCCTAAAAATCCACAGGGAGACAGGCTCAGTCCCGGGAGGCAGCCGCTTACCTTTCAGGCTAATTAAAGGGTGAGGTGCAGGGCAAGCGGCTGGTCATTACCTCGGGGTTGTCAGTCAGGTAGATCTGCCTGGAGATGTTGTTGATTGCACATATCCACTGTGGAGGACATTAAAAAACCTGCTGAATCCCGGAGTCCCCCACTACAGTGAGAAGGAAGTGAAACAAACAAAATCTTTACCTCTTCATTCTCCTTTCTGCTTTCTGCCTGGAGGATTATTCCCCTGAAATAAAGTGCATCCAAGTAAGTGCTTCCCAGATGGCAGGGACTGACCATTATTCCACAAAACTGAACTCCACTGGGGCCCCGAGGGGGGAAAGGGTAGGAAGGCAGCCAAATGGGAAGGAGAGAGAATGGGTTTCTGGGTCTGGCTCTGTCATCTGGACAAACAAACGCTTCCCTGGGCCTTGGCTTTCTCATCTGTAAACTGAGCAGGCTGGGCTCAGACCCACTGGCCCAAGCCTGTGATTCTCACAGTGCGGACCATCCTCTGGCCCCTCTTAGATGATCCCAGGCCACCAGCCACCGCTCCCAACCACACCCAAAGAAGGAATAGCAGCCACTCCACTCCTCCCCAAGAACGGAAAAGCCTGCATAAGGAGGGCTGGGAATACAGACAAGTACTACTGCTCAGTCTTTGTGGGGGTTTAACTCTGAAGGGCTCCACATCCAGTTCCTTTGTCCCCATCTCATCTATGGGAGACGGGGAACAGGGACCTCATCCCCGTTTCACATCTGAGAAACTGAGGCCCAGAGGACTAAGTGACTGTCTAGGTCTAGGAGCATGACTAGAATCCGGGCATCTTCATTCCCAGCTCATTTCTGCACTTTATTTCACTCAGGGAGGAAGGAAGATGCCCTGCCAGGCTGGGAGAGGAGCTGCTCAACACTACCAACACTGCCCACCCTCCCGATGCCAGAGTTCAGATAAAATCTCAACTCGCAACCCCAGCAGAGCCAATGCCAACAGGGCGGCTCTGACAAGGACGGGCCACCCTCTCCGCCAGGCAGGGAACCCGGAGCACCGCCCATCTCCTACCCCCTGGGGCTCTGCATCCCTTGGAGCACCGCCAGAGCCCTGCTCTAAGTGAGGGCTCCCCTGGGATGGGGTCTACGTGAACGACTGCAGGCTGCCATCGGGAAAGGAGGACCTCGGGGCCCGGGATGGATGGGACAGCAGGCTGAGGAGTGACCCTCCCGCAGCTGAACGTCCTGTTCACGTTTCAGCTGGAAACACCGACTCCTCAGGCAGGTCTTCCCTCCTTCCTGACTCCTCCTCGTCCCTGCCCCCCACCAGTACAAACACAAATGCTTGTCTAAGGAGCGGTGAGGCCTAGCCACAGCCTTCTGTGAGAACAGAACCTGTGCCGACAAACAGCCACCTTTACCACTCTGACACGTTGGTCATCTCTAATCTAAGCACAGACAGTCCTCACCGGCACTCCTTATGTAAAGCAGGTTGGATCCCATATGGGTCATGTGCCTAAAGAACACAAAACCACCTCCCAAAGGCCACACTGCCCAGACAGCCGCTCCCATGGAGGAATGAGCCAGGAGGCCCTGGGCAGGGGTGGGGTCACTACACTGGTTCTCCACCCACGTAAAACCCGCGTGACATACGATTTCCCATTGGGGGTGGTGATCTGGAAGCAGTAGCGCCGGTCTTCACAATCCACCGCCATCACGGAGCAGTTGTCCAGGTCCTGGATCAAGCCGCCAGCCACGGCTCCCCTGGGCTGGCACATGAGGTTCCCGCCTTGGGTGAAGAAGTAAAGCCGCTCCCAGGAGGTGGTGACCAGTCCTGTTTTACTACAAGGATTGTGTGAAAGCCCATTCGTATTAGGAAACATGAGTGGCACCTCAAAGTTCTGCTGCCCTTTGTGGGGATCAGTCACATTTTACAATGTGTTCCTTTAAAGCAAAACTGCTTTGGAAACAATTAAAGTGCAAAGAGCAGCAGAGATGTGCAACTGAGCTTGGAGGACCTGGGAGATTATGGGCCAGCTCACCCGGGGATGCCAGTCCCAGGGCCGACTCCAGGAAGTGAGCGGTGCGCCTGCCCCTCAGCCAGACGAACAGAATTAGTCCGTCACCATTAGGAACTGAAACCTGGAAGGTCACTTCTCTGAGACATGGAGCTGCCCTGCTCGATAGCTACTTAGAGTCACCAGGGTCAGCTCTGGTATAAGAATCTCGGGGGCTTTCACCAGATTCAGTTTTGTTCCAACTGGATGTTATTCTTGTTTTGTGGGCTGTTTACAAGAGGAAAATCCAGTTCCTGGCAAAGAACACCAGGACCTCGTGGAGTTTTCTATCACTTGGCCTGTGATCAAGAAGCTTACAAACCTTTGAGGGGCTCTTCCCAGTAAGAAAACCACTGACAGTTCCTCTGCACAGACCCTCCAATGCGGGGAGATTAAATGCACAACCCGATTCAGTGTTTACTGAGCAGTGACTATGTGTGAGGCACTAGGTTTCCTGCCCCAATAATTATAATTTTCAAAGAGGGTCATAGCTATCATTTGAGTGCTTTCTGCCTGCTAAAAACAACCTTATTCAACCCTTGTAGCAACTTTATAATGTAGGTGCAATTATCAATTCTATTTTATGGATGAGGCAACCGAGTCCCCACCAACGGCCATGATGACCAGGAACAGGGGTGGCCTGTGGTGTCTTGGAGTCCACAAGCTGGGTTCTTACTCATACGACTGTTCCTACGTCCCAGGCAGGAGGGGTGCTGTAGTGGGAGTTCCCCCCACTCCCTCATGGGGCACTCGGCTCTTTAGCCACTCCGCGGGGCGGGCAACGGCATCCTCACCTTCTAAGGTTAAGGTAACCGGCCTTCTGGATGAGGTTCCTGTTGATCTGTGGTGCAGCTACATCGAAGTCTGGCGTGTAAACAGATTCGTCCACAGAAAGCAGCTCTTGCTGGGACACCCTCATCTTTTCTGCTTCGGCTTCCAGTTCCACCTGAATGCTTAAGACAGAAGGTGTCCGTCCGGTCAGCCACTCAGCGCTGGGCATCAGATGGCAGAGCCGCAGCTCTCCACCTCTCTCTTAGGCCTGGAAGCCGGAGCTTAGGCACTCCGGGATGCATTATTCTGTGCTCACATGACTGCTGTTTTAAAACCACACAGGGGTCCCACTGGACAATGCCTGAACCCAGCTAAACAGTTCCTCTGCTGGCAAAGGTGTCATGCTCAGAACTGCTGATACAAACGCTCGGAGAAAAGCTTCAATGAGCCCATTCTTAGGGGAGGCACATGCAGGCTTCCTGTGAAAGGGCCGGAAAGGTGAGGACAGTAGTCATTCCCACTCACTTTGGTTTAGGCAAGAGCTGGGAGAAGGCCACTGGAGAGGGGAAACTGACCAGTAGTACCAAGGTGCACCAGCAAAGCCAGGGCAATGCTCTTCCTTCTAAGATAGACAGCCACATGCCTGCCCCACCCGGTGGTGACAGGATGGGCTACAAAGGCCTGAACAGGGCCCATCCATCGGAGAAAGCAAACTTCAGAGGCGTGTTCCACTTCTCCGCCGTGTGGAAGGAGGTAAGACAGAATCACAGATGTTAAAATAGAGGGAACCTTGGGGGCCAGCTGCCTGGTGTTTCACAAGTGAGTTCCTCAGGATGTTCTCTCAAAGGGTCTGCAGTGAAGGAAGTTTGGGCTTGCACACTCATACTCTGCCGTAGGAGATCCAGGTCCGCCGCCTGCACCGTGTTTAACGCAGCAGCTGGGTGCAAGCCGCCTTCCGGGGGAGGGCTGGCTACTCTGACATTTGAATGAAATGACGGGACTCCATGGCTGATGGCCTGGGGCCAGGCCAGCTGGAGAACAACCCTCATTAGCTACCCCTGCTTGTCACTGCCAAGGCTAGGAGAATGGACTATGCGGGAAAAGCAGCAGTACAAGAGAAGGAAGGTGGGAGGGAGCCAAAGGTTTACAAAAACACCTAGTTTCTTACGCTTTTGTGGGTGATAAAACTCTAAGGACCCGATGAAGGTAAGAATTTTCTCCCCAGAGAAATACTCATGTGCACCAAGACAGACATATTTCTATACCCCAGAAATAATGAAAAGCACTCAAGGAGCCATATGTCTGACTTCTGAATGAAATAAGCCCGGTGCTGGGGGTGCCCGGAGCCTCCACTGAGCTCACCATCACAGGCGCTGACAACAGGAGGCAAAGGGAGTCAGAGCGGCCAAAGCATCACTAAGGGCGGCAGGGCTGTCTGCAGAGATGATGCATTTTTTAAAAAAATAAGCAATTGCAAGACTGAACTCCAGGTTGTTAAATTAATTCAAAAAGGCTCACTGCCTTGTTTATCATACATTAGCATGATGATCTGAAGTTCCTAAAACGTTGCAGCACTTCTGGCTGCTAACCTGTTAGCTCTCCAAGAAAGGAACAAGGCGCTCTCTCCACAGCAAGTCCAAACAGGATTGAGGCTTCTGACACGTGAAACCTGATTGTTACAGAAGAAGATCCGAAGAACTCTGACTTAATAGGAAAGTACCCCTGTGGATCCTTTAATCCAGGGGTCCTCAAACTATGGCCCGCGGGCCACATGCAAATACAAATATTGTATTTGTTCCCGTTTTGTTTTTTTACTTCAAAATAAGATATGTGCAGTGTGTATAGGAATTTGTTCACAGTTTTTTTTTAAACTATAGTCCGGCCCTCCAACGGTCTGAGGGACAGTGAACTGGCCCCGTTTAAAAAGTTTGAGGACCCCTGCTTTAATCTTTTATTGATTTACAATCTGTAAATGTAGTGGATAGGACTGCGGGCTCCACATAAGCTGGGAAATGCAGAAATCATTCCTTTTAACCACACTATTCATAAATGTCGGCAGCTAAGAAGGCGCTGCTCCTGGGAGTTCAGGGAGTGGACAGCAGCTGCGGGGGACCCCCCACCCCCACCCCCACCGGAGAGGCTGATTTGGCAGAAAACAAAAGCACCAAGACCCCAACTGGAGTGCAGCATTACCTTTGAACCATGTCCGACACGGAGGATAAGAAGTTGTCCATACTTTGGGAAAACATCGCTGCTCCCTTCTTGAAAAAGTTAATCTGAAAGATATAATTACGATATTCTGAAAATCGTTCAGGAAAGTGGATGGCTGAGTTCATGGACTGTGAGACTGACAGTGGGCGCGGCTGACCCTGGCTGCCCGGCTCCTCGCCCGCAGCACTGGCGGCATCTCCATGAGCCCCACCCCACCGGCTGAGAGTTATTCCCAAAGCCCCGAGTGCGTGTGGAGAAAGGGGATGGTGAAACCTGCTGTTCTGTAAAAAGTCTGTAAAGCTCAGGAATCATGTAAGTGAAACACTTGGCATACACCAGATGTGTCAGTAATTACTACTGATAATTTGATATTGTCAGCCTTTTTCCTGTGTGAATTCTAGATAGTGGGTTTCTAGGACAAGGGTTAGGTCTTCTTCACCTTTGCATCTGTAGGGGCTACATCGGTGTGACAGTGACATGCACAGCACCAACAAGAGACAGACAAGCAGCAGGAGGTTCTCAGAGAGGCCAGGGCCGCCGTCTGAATGACCCACTCCCTGAGCCACGGCAGCTCTGAGCACAGGCTGCACAGCGACATGGCTGTGGAATTCCAGAGGGAAAGCTGGGCCGAAGGCTCCTCCAGCCCTGACATCAGCGGAAGGGGGACGTGGATGTGAAGGAAGCAGGCGGCCCTGGCACTGCATGGTGCTCCCCGTGTCTATAGTGGGTGCTCTCTCTGCCCAGGGAAGACCTGAGGACTACAGTTTGAAAATGAAACTGCTGTTGCTGGCTTTTTGGGAACCAACAGAAGGAATTCCTTGCTTCTGTGATTCCTGGGTATTCATATTTTATTGATTTTTTACAGAGAGGAAGGGAGAGAGATAGAGAGTTAGAAACATCGATGAGAGAGAAACATCCATCAGCTGCCTCCTGCACATCTCCCACTGGGGATGTGCCCGCAACCCAGGTACATGCCCTTGACCGGAATCGAACCTGAGACCTTTCGGTCCGCAGGCCGACGCTCTATCCACTGAGCCAAACCGGTTTCGGCAGGAATTCCTTGCTTCTGTGATTCCTGGGTATTCACTTCCCAGAAGGCCGGGGCCCCCTGACAAGCCCTGGCAGGGGTACAGGAAAGAGAAGAGGACTACCTCTGTGCCTTACTGACATCAGCAACCATCCCTCCCAAAAAGCTCAAACTTCCATCTCTCTGTAAGGCTGGGCCTTTAAAAATCTGAATATGGTACGAGCCGCTCCATTTTGCAGCCCTGATTGTAGAGAAGTGATGGTTGCAAACCTCTGTCATGAGAAAGAGAAAACACTCAGCTTGGACATGGGTATCCGCTCAGGTTACAGAGCTGGTCTGTCTGATCTGGAAGCAGCCCCTGCCTGGGTGGTAAGCACAGACATTGACCTCTCACCCCAAGGCGACTAGCAGGAGTCATCGGTACGGCCCTGAGGCTCGGGAGGTATGCACACACCTGTCCTTAGTTCTCACAGCACAGAAACAGATGATGATTGGATTATCCTAATGCAAAGTAATCCACGCAGGGAGAGGTTCTGGCCCTGTGATCTCTGAATCAGAGAGAGATGAGCATTCTGAATCCTTGAAATGTTAAATATCAAAGTCCGTTGAATGAGCATTATGCATTTCTAAGGGCACAACTTCATGCTGGTTTTCCTTCACCTTCCCCTCCCTGAACTCCACACACCAGCCCATGTCTGAGCCCCTCCACTATCCTCTAAGCTCCTAGGGCAGGGCTCACGTATTCCCTCAAAAATCTGATGAATGGGTGGAAGGCAGGGATGAGATACTGGCTTCCACAGCCACGTCACATACTGCTTATCCTGCAAATACTACGTTGGAGTTCATTTGTGTGCCCTCATAAACCTGGACAGGCTGACAACGCCTCCATTGGTTTGCAGGAGGGAGGACTAGTCATGACTTAACTGAAAACCTGTTTGCCTGGGGCCAGGGAAGGCAGAAATGGAGTCAAACAACCTCCACTATGGTGGGTGGTGGTGAGAAGTCTGATTCAGAGGAAAGTCATCCAAAGACCAAAGTTCACACGCCTTCATGAGCAGTGGGAAGTACAATGGTCAAATGATCAGCAGCCAGCAAAGGTGATGCTCAACGAACACTGATTTAAAAGGGATGCTTCAGAATTATTCAAAGAGTCAGGGGTTAGACAACAACCTGGACTAAGAGAAACAACTACAATTCCACCAGGATTAAAAAGTCTGCAGGGTGAGGGACCATTTGGTCTTGTGTCTTAAAATCTAGATACTTTTCATATGAAAAATGAAATGTGCCAGCCTCAGTCCCCAACAAGTGTGCTCTGTTCTGCTTTCCCAGGCATGGGCCGCATTCGTGCTGCTGTGCCCATAGTCCCTCTACCTCCCCATCCCCCCACCCCATGCCCCCCGTGGCCAGCAGCATTCGCTTCAAAGGTCCAGGCTGGGGGAACTGGTGTAGTTCTCAGCCATGAAGAGTGAAAGCAACTGGATAAAACCCATCCTTTAGCTCTTTTAGGGACCCTCCTCCACCCAGGCTCCCAAGGCTGTCCCAGGCTGCAGCCGTGCATCTTTCTGAGACTAAGTTCCAGACACTCCCTGGCCCTGGGGCTCTAATGGGCAGGGATTACTGCTCCAAAGGCCAGGCCTGTCAGTCCAGGGAGGATGACTCCTCAAGCACTGGCAGCATTTCCCCACGCCCTCCGTGCCCAGGTGTTAAGGAGAGAGCAGAGGGTACTGGCATCCTCTAACAAGCAGGATATCCACCAGGCAGAGGTGCAATGTTTGATGGAAGGAGAGAGGGGGCAACAGAGAGGACACACATGGGGGCACAAGTGCCCATGGTGAGGAAGCTCGCCCAACCCAAGGATTTGCTGAGGGCTGCAGCCCACAGCCGGGCAGTGCTAGTTTTTGGCTTAACCCAGCTTACTCAGATGACACAGAAAGATTACACTGTTCTATTAAATATCACCATAAGGGCATAAGCTGACTTTAGTGTCTGCATTATTCAGCAAGGTAATAACCATATTAAGATGACAGACAACTGAATTTGGATGTTTAAAAATCTTCTCTTGTTCCTCCTTTCCCTGAATGAAAGTGATGTGCTTTTTAACCCTTTGCACTCCGCTGTCCCCTCTCAGGGGACATCGGAATTCTAGCATATCACTCGGATGTCCCCTCTCAGGGGACATTGCAGTTTATTAGTGATTACGGGGAATTGAGTTATTTCAACGTAACTTTTTGAGACATGCATGTTTCCCTGAAGTTTTATCTTGAAATGGCACAAGAAATTAAATCAAAATATCGTAAAATTAGTAAGATATATACAAGAAATGTCAGCGGGTTTTGTGTCGGATTAAACAATAAACTACATATTCCCGATGTGGGACAAAGAAAACGGGACTGCATTGTGTGTTCTAACAGGAAAACACCTGGTGGCAGGCGTCAAACCACTTATTACTGTCAAACATGCACTAATCAGCCTGCAATGCATATTGGGGAGTGTTACAAAACTTATCATACTGTACAAAATTATAAACAATAAAATATTGTTTTTTTTGCAAATATACATTCCTCGATGTCACCCAATTCATATAAGTCCAATATCATTATAATACGTTACTTGGTTCCAAAATTATACTAAATAATACGAGGGTCTGTAAATGCACGTTTCCGCCGCAAAGTAGCGTGGAGTAGCTGGTAGCCAATGCCCAGAATGGTTCGGAGTGCAAAGGGTTAAAAATGTATGTATTTTTAGCCCTAGCCAGTTTGGCTCAGTGGATAGAGGCATGGCCTGTGGACTGAAGGGTCCTGAGTTTGATTCTGGTCAAGGGCACATGCCTTGGTTGCAGGCTCGATCCGAGCCCTGGTCAGGATGTGTGCAGGAGGCAACCAATTGATGTGTCTCACATCGATGTCTCTCTCTCTTCCCCTCCCTTCCACTCTCTCTATAAATCAATGGAAAAATATCCTCGGGTGAGGATTAACATAAAAAACAATATGTATTTTTCCAATGTATTATGAAAATAATAGGTGCTCACACGTAAGTTTTTAAGTTGCTGACTTTTCCTTCTCAACATTTTGCTCCCTCACATCCCTTTCTGTTCCTAGATCAGAGAAGGTTCCCAGATGCGTTTCTCACAAGCCGGAGTGAGTCTGGAGTCAATGTAAGTGGGGCTAACGCAGGGCAGGGATGGCGGGCGAGGCTGGTGCCACTCGCCTCACATTCCCACCACTCCTGTCCCTGCCAGGCTGCCACAGTCAAGGCCCCATCCTGAACCTGGGACCTCCCTGCACACAAACACTCTGCAGTGATTTCATCAATCACTGGCAACATTTCCCCACGTCCTATCGGCCCAGGTGCTGGCATTCGCCTCCGCCACACATCACGAGAACAGCCCACCGAGGTGACTGTACCACACCGAGCAGCGGAGTCCTAGCTGGTGAGCCTGGCTCCACAGCCTGCACAGGCAGCTGCTTCTCAGACCATCGGGCCCGGCCTCCTGTCATTGGATCAGAGACAAGGGCCATGCCAGCTCCTGCCCACAGGAGGCAAGGGATCAAGGCCATCATTTCCTGCGTGTACAGCCCAAGCCCAGCTGATGGTCCAGCCCACCGCAAGCTCTCCAGGTGCCGAGCTTCCGGGAGCTTCTGCGAGGCTGTGCACGTGTTTCCTCCTCTGACGCTGCTTGTGCGTCCCCTGTGCTCCCTCAACAGAAGGCCGCGCTGCCCTCCACAGCTGGCGTAGGTCCTACCCTGAGGGGAAGGACTGCCTACCTGTCCGTGGGCGAAGCCCACCATGGGCTCCATCATGGCCATGCGCTTCCTGTACTGCAGCGCGTTGAGGGCGCAGTAGTACTGCAGGGACGAAAGGTGCTGTTTCCGCCGGGCAGCTGCCACCTCCTTCACCACCTCCGTCTTCACCTGGTTAAGAGGTGAAAGGAAAACAGCACTTTGGCTAATGGACGTGGCAATTCCGTAAGAGCACGCAACTCCAAACCATGCCGATTTCTACATGAGAACCATTTTTGTAACAAAGAGAATGAAGCATAGATAAGGTTCCACCTCATGTTTTTAAATATCCAAATTAAAAATAGTAAAGGGATAGCATGTCCATGTTGTGAGGCTGCACTGGGTGGAGCCAGTCCCTTCTCCTGGTAGCACTCCCAGCGCCACACTCATTAGGAAAACGACATGGCCAGTCGCTGAAGGCCACACACATTCTGGGTCCCCTGTGAGACTACTCTAAGGAAATCATGTGACAGAAATGAAAGGTACATGCCTGAAAATATCCATTATTATTTACAGTAAGTAGTGAGTTAAAGAGTCAGAGCCGCCGTGGCTGGTTTGGCTCAGTGGATAGAGCGTCGGCCTGTGGACTGAAAGGTCCCGGGTTCGATTCTGGTCAAGGGCATGTACCTTGGTTGCGGGCACATCCCCAGTGGGAAGTGTGCAGGAGGCGGCTGATCGATGTTTCTCTCTCATCGATATTTCTAACTCTCTATCTCTCTCTCTCCCTTCCTCTCTGTAAAAAATCAATAAAATATATTAAAAAAAAAAAAGAGTCAGAGCCAACAAGTGCCTGAGTGCCTATGATTCAATCACGTGAGGTGCCCAGCTTACGTTAAAATCATAGTGTGACTATAATTTTACAATGGTCCCAAGTTGGTGTTTGAAAACTAACTTTCAAAGCTAGAATTAGGAAGTGAAAAATCTACTTTAGGAGATTTAGAATAAAAAATTTAAAAATCTATGTATAGGAAAAAAGAGAAGAAATTCACCAAGATACCCTCAATGCCACCAACTCACAAGGGAAGACACAAAAGGAGCGACGTAAGAAGTGAGAACATGTAAGGGAGGTGTTCTCACCTTTTCATTCTCCTTTTTCTTAGGAAGCCTGCTATATTTTGCCATTGAGAGGTCATGCTCTAAAAGTAAAGAGACATGTTAGCACCCAGACAGGGTGAAAGGCAAGAACAACCATTCAGTGTCTCTGCCCACAGACTCACTAAACCCACACACAAGAATGGGGAGGGTGCCTACCAGTGCTGGCGAGTCCGAAGAGATCCTTTAATGTGCTTACTTCTGCACAAGAGAAAAGAGATGTCTTAGAGCAGAGAAACAAAGCAAGCCGGTCCAGAGCTGCGTGCTTGCCCAAGGAAAGAAAGCCGTCCACGAGGACGGGAAGGCGCTGCCAGCACCTCAGGCCCTCGGCCCTCACGGGGCCCTGGCCTGGCTGGGACTCCTGGTCTCACTGGAGCTTGTGGCTTCAGCTGCACCCACACCCAGGGACCCTGACTGCCCATGGAGCATGGAGCAGTTCTCTCCAGACAGCCTGTGGGGATCTATGAAGGAGAGGGCACTCGAGGACCAGGTGGAGGGTATGGTGGCAGGGACTATGCATGGAGACCTGGAGTGTATGTATAAGCTCCGCCTCTTCAGCCCCCACTGTGTTCTCAGACATCTCTCCTCAGAATGCCCTGACTACACCAAACCCTAGAAATTTCCTGTCATTGCCATTTTAAAACCCGACAAAAGAACATGGGTGCTTGTTTTAACGAAAAAGATCTGAAGCAATCCAGTGTACTGTACTTTCAGCAAGCCAACACCAATAACTATTACCCCATGTGGGCGCTACCCCCTTCACATACAAAGGTGGCTAAACAAAGTCCAAGACAAACCCCCCAAAAAGATCAATGAGAGCAATGGGAGTCCAAGGTTAAACACTTAAAAACAGAGACACCTAAACAAAATTGATGCTTTACAATTTTAACACTCTCCATCTCTACTTCCTCAAAGCCCAGCATTTTCACATCATCTATATTGCTTTTCAATTTACTTCAAAACTGCCTCCAGCTTTTTAATTTCTCTTCATTTTATTTCTTGATATCAGGATACTTTCTCGCATTTTCCCTTCTTTCTCTCTCCCTTTTTCTTCCTGTTGGAGCAGAGCTGTGATGTTTTTCCTTACCATTTAAATAGCTTTCTTAATATTTCTTGTGCTGCCCTCATCCAGATTCCGTACTTGTATTGGTGGGCAAACGAGTAAGGCAGCAAAATGAAACACCACCATCAGGGATGGGGGGGTGTGGGGGGTGGGAGGTGCCAGATTCTAAATTGGTTCTGATGCTGACTCAAGTATGACCTGCACCAACACTTCAAATTTTTCCTGGTGTCATCAGAAAAGGACACTTTAACTTTTTTCATTGATACTCTCCTTAAAAAAAAATAATCACCATCTTGGGTAAATACTCCTAATCCACGTTTAGCTCTCCTGGAGTCATGAGACCACTGTCACCAAAGCTGTGAGCAGACACTCTCAATTCCAGGTTTGCCTCCCAAAAAACAAAAACAAAAGTCAACCCAGGTCTTAGGGGATGATTATTTTCTTTCCAGAACATTTCTTTTAACCAGTTAACTGCCATGATATTTTGAATTTAATTAAAAAAGGTCCGCCGCTTGCGTCTATAGACGCTTATGGCGTACAGATGGTTAAAAATGATATCCAAGCCTCCCACCACCTTACATCCCTAAGAATAGCGTGCCTTCACAAATGCTCCAGGCGGTAATACAAGCCTTGCTACCTTGTGTGCTCTGAAAGCCCCGCTAGGAGATCACCTTCTCCAGGAAGCCTGCCCTGGCACCCTGTCCTCAAAAGGGCAATGACGTCTTTCTGTCCTTCTTGCTATTCCTTGAACGTCTCTGTCCTGCTGCCCTCATCACATGATGTTACCATTGTCTGACTCCAAGTCTATTTTATTAGCCTGTGACCTCCTTTAGCTGAGCCAAGAACACAGTGGGGATTCAATGCAAGTTAGTTAAACTGAGTTACTCAACAAGAAAGGGCATTTCTCAGTAATCCACGCATTTAAAGAAATTAATGCAGTATGAATTATTATTAAATGAAGTAATATTTTAAAGGTAACTGGCACTGAATTCAGTTACTTTACCTGTGAGATCCTTTTCTCGAAATTGTACAATGGGTAGAACCATTGTGTCTGCCAACTGTTTAGCCAGCTCTGTATGGAGAACGTTAAGCTAAAAGAAAGAGAAATCTATTAAAGAAAATTATATCCACTATTTTACTGAAACTATCTTATTTTACCAAAGAATGGCGATGAACACTTCCGAGTGGTTAGAGAGCTCAGTTATACTTCTTTGGCAAATAAATACCCTCTTAAAGCAGTAAATGATGTTGGCCTAGAGCAGTGGTCGGCAAACTGCAGCTCGCGAGCCACATGCGGCTCTTTGGCCCCTTGAGTGTGGTTCTTCCACAAAATACTGACTTCTGCGCAAGGGCCACGAAGTTTCAATTGCACTGTACGTGTGTGCCCGCACGTGGTATTTTGTGGAAGAGCAACACTCAAGGGGCCAAAGAGCCGCATGTGGCTCGCGAGCCACAGTTTGCCGACCAGGGGCCTAGAGGTATTAGACGCTAAATGTGAGGTTCTAACTGACCAGTTAAGTTTGCTAAAGGAGTCTGAGCCATAGTTATCGTTTGCTTACTGTGCAAACTCTGGCTCGGTGTTCTCAGTCTAAGCCACACCCCCTGGGGAGCAAGAGCGCTGTGATGTGCTTGCAGTGAACACAGCTCACTGGGTGGAGCGCTCAGCACAAGTCACAGCCTCGCCAGGCCACTGTGAGCTCTCTCACTCGCAGAGGGGTGCAGTCACACTTGAAAGGCAGGCCTGCTGGGAGCCCTCTAACCCTGAAACCACAGCCAGCTGCGGGCGTGGGCCTGGGAATGTGCTCCGGCAAAGAAAGCTCCCTACAGAAACAACTCAGCCAGACCCAGGCCTCTGCTCTTTAGAAAAAAACCTTTCTAAGAATGAGACGACTGTATCCAAACGTGACCCTCCACACCAGACAGTTCTAACAGCTCTTGATTCTTCCTCTCTCTCCCCTTCTATCTCAAGGCCTTGCTAAATCCCGTCGCTGTCAGTGGTCAAGGAGAAATAAGTGAACCCCATCAGCACCACCATTTGGAGCATTTCTGTAGGGCAGCTTTCCATGCTTTAGTTCTCAGTCTCACCTGCTCTGTGAGTTAGGTATTATTTATTATCCCTGTTTTACAGGTAGGCAAGTAAGTGGCATGACTGGGATTTAATCCCAGGCTATTAGGATCCAAACGCCATGCTCTTCCCATTCCACTGTCTGAGACAGAGTTACTTTTTCATGCTCACAAAGCTGCCAAAAACTTCAAATGTTTTGGCAGCCAGACAGTAGCAATTAGAAACAAACACGGTGGAAGGGATCTTCCCTGGGCCCCGACTGGCAGAGGTCACTGAGGATGCCCCAGGGTTCCTGCTGGGTGAATAGGGGAGTCACCCAGCAGTCACTTTGTGGAGTAAACATGGGGCAGTTTCTCTCAGTGATATCTGAGTCTCCTTCTACACAGAGGTCTCCCAGTCCTCTGGTCCTTCAGGGCTATTCCTGCAGAGGCTGCTTTGATAAACTTAAAGCCTTGCCCAAGGTCGACCCTTCGCCAGGCAAGGAGCTACAGGCCGAGCTGGTAATGTTCTCCCCATCTGTCAATCAAGCCAAGCCAATCAAGCTTTGTCCAGCTGGAAATACACGAAGACAGTCACGCCTCTAAATTAGCCATCAGGATAGAATGTGTTAATGATTTTTCCTGAATAACGTCAATAAGAAATGGACTGTTTTTTTACTAAGTTAATTGAGTGAAAGTCAACAAGTGTACCTACTATGTGCCTGTCTCTGGGCTCAACATCTGATATACATCATTTCATTTAATCTTTGTAACATTGTAATTAAGTGGGCTTTCCCACAGTTGAAGAACCCAAAACTCAGGGAGATAAGTTGCATTCCAATGGTTATGCACTTCAGGAATGGCAAATTTCCTAGCTACTCATTTTCTTCCTACTTTCTTCTTAAGGTTCAAAGGGTGCGTCACCCACTTTTTGTCTTGGGGCTTTGGAGAGGTATGGGACAACCATTTCTAAACACAGTGTCTTCTCTGAGGAGAGTGGACAGACTGTAGATGACCTCTTGGAACTTCAGCAGTGTCACAGAGAAAATGGGGACCCATCATCTTCCCTGCATGGCTGCTGTGAGGATAAAGCAGGAACGTGAATAAAAAACACTCAGAGCAGAGGGCCTAACACCCACTCAGCAATGGAATCCATAATGACGATGACTTCCTGTCTCAGATGAACTCCAAGAAAGTGACTAAGAAACCTTGCTTTCGGGGGAATCACCAATGCCAAAATCTCTGCATGCCACTACACCGAGATCTGCTTCCAGGACATTCTATTAAATATAAGCCGCATAAACTACTTTTATTTGGAGTTTTCTTTAACTTCGGAGTCAAATTACTTGTCTTGAAAAGTTTTCAATCTGGTATAGGCCCAGGTAGAAAAATAACCTCAAAAGCGACTCCCCTCTTCCCTGAGCTAACTGCTCTCACTTGCATCTCTGAAAATGCCTTAAGGTGCTCAACTTCCAGGAGGCCATGATGCCACCGGGCAGTCACACTTCCAGGCCCCCATCCTTTGAGAGTGATTCCCTCTCCACTGAAATCATCATCATTTCTGCCCATGAAAATATGGTTGCGAGTAAATATCTTTATCTAGAAATCTTGGTTCGGACGACTACCCACATGTCCTTAGCCACTGTCTTCCAGTCAAGAAAACATATGGCTTCAGTGGGTGTAGTTTTTGCTTCTTTCCCTGGATTATTTATTCACTGTTAATTAATAAACATTCTTCTCCTCACTTTCTAAAAAAATTACTTTTTGCTCCTCTCTAATTATATTATCCATCCATTTTAACACACATTTTAAACAAAGTCACAGTAGTGGGGTAGAGGATGAAGCTAAAAAAGAACCGGTCAACTTGTGCTCTGGTGCATCCTCAGTGCCCAGAACAGCACCTGCTAAACAGCAGGTGGTCAATCACAGCTGTCGAATGAACTTGGACTGATTTGCTGAATGAATGGAAATGCTATCAGTACAATTTTACATGAATGTTAGTTTCTCATTTTATAATCTGAAGATAGTGCTACTTCGTATTAATGATCCAACAGTTCAGTGGCATCTGCATATTCTTTTTTGCTTATTCTTTGTCACGATTTTCTATGACAAGTTTGCAAACTCCTTGAAAGATGAAAGAGTTTAAATCTACCTAATTTTGCAGGGGATTCTGCCCAGCACTAGTAGCATCTGAGCTCTTTTTTTTTTTTTTACAATTAGGATTTATGCACTTTTCCTACAATAATACCTGTTTCCACAAACCTTCCAAGAGGATTATACGATACAGCTACCAGAACATTTGTATGAAACCCTTTTCAGTGAGTGGAATCCTGCTCCCCCAAAAAGAAATGTCCACCCTGAATATGTGAATATTTGAGAAAATGGTCTCTGCAGATGTAACAAAGGGTCCTGAGATGAGATCATCCTGGGTTATCCAGGTGGGCCCTAAATCCAATGACAAGTGTCCTTATGAGAAGAGAGGACACAGAAAAGAGAACAATCATGGGGGGTGAGGTGGAATCCGGGAAGAAGGCCATGGAAGCCAGGGTGAGGTGAGAGT